ACGGCTGGACGTCGCTCCCCCCCGACGGCGGGGGCCGACGTGACTTGCCGTTGTCCGCCAGCGCGCCGCAATGGCAGTATGTTGGCCGCCAGATTTGGCGGCAGTGGCAGCAGCGGCGCCGTCGGCTGCCGCCGCCGGTGCATCTGATGCTGTAGGAGCGGCGGCGGCGGCCACCAACATACCTGCCAAATGTGGCGCGCTGGCGGACAACGGCAAGTCACGTCGGCCCCCGCCGTCGGGGGGGAGCGACGTCCAGCCGTCAATTGGACGGTCAGGCAGCTGTGTACGGGCATTTCCGATCCCTGTCATGCTCGGCTGACGATACCTTGGGTCAGCAACGCTATCGCCCCCGCCGCGGCTCTGCGCACTTGCTGCCACCTGCTGCTGCTGCTGCTGCTGCTGCTGCTGCGATGACGACTGTTGTGGCTGTTGTTGGATATTTAGGTGGTAATTGCCGTTGCTACTGCGTCTTTGGAGATGGTGAGAAAAGCTAAGCTGTTGCCGTAGCGGGCTGGTGCCCGCAGGGGAGGGGGAAGCGGCGGCAGCGGCGGCCCCCCCGGATGACGCTGTAGCGGCAGTAGCGGCCGGCGGTGGCGACGGCTGCCCCGACGCGCCGCCAGCGATTGTAGCAGCAAAGGGTGCTGAAGCGGCTACAGCCTGTGGCTGTGCGGTCGCTTGCGATAACGCAACGAGATCCTGTACGGCAGTTGACCCGAACTGCGGACTGTGAAGGTGGTGATGATGGTGGTAAATGTGCGGTGGGTTCGACAGTTGGTACGGACTCCCCCCCGGCTGGAGAGCCACGGCGTGCCCCTGCAAGCCCGAAGCGACAACCGCCGTCGGCACCGCCGGCCGCTGCGCGCTGTTCACCACAGCTGTCGCCGCCGCAGCGGCGGCGGCGGCGTCGCGCTGCTGTGCCAAGCTGGGCCGCAACGCACTGCCGCCGCTGCCGCTGCCGCTGCCGGCGCCGGCGCCGCCGGCGGCACTACAGCTGATAGGAAACGTCGACGCCGGCGGTCGAGCAGGTGACGTTGCATCGCTGACGGCGGCGGAGGCTGCAGCTGCCACCACTACTGCCGCTGCCGCCGGCGGCTCCAGTTCCACTGCCGGCGCTTGCTGATAGCGGCGGCGGCTGGGCTCCCTCCGCAAGGCCGGAGGCGGTCCCGATGGCAGCCCCGATCCAACTGCCGCCGCCGGCAAGGCGGCGCCACCGACGGCAGCGGCGAGCGCCGCCGTTGCCGCCGCCGCGGCAGCGACGTACGCCGGATTCGCCACGGCGGTGACGTGGCCCTGCATGCGACTGCCCCGCAACAAGCCCTGCATGGAGCCCAGCCGATGCGCTCCGAAACCCTCCTCCAGGTCCTTGTCCCTGTCTCGATCCCTTTCAAGCGCCGTACAGCCCGACAGCTCCATGTGCTGCTGTAGCGACACCAGCGATGCGAAAGGGGAAGAGCCCGTCAGGCTGTCCATGCGCGCCATCGGCGACGGCGACCCAAACCCAGATGCCCCAGACCTGGTCACCTCCCGCCGCTCCGAATGTGTCGAGCTGGCACGGCTGTTCGAACCGCCCGCGCCGCCGCCTCCGCCGCCTCCGCCAAGGGCCAAGTGGGTCAGGGAAACTGGAGGGGAGCTGTCGCCTGCGCCGCCGCCGCCGGGCTGTAGCTGCCCCTGCTGCTGCTGCTGATACTGCGAGAGCGCAGGGGACCTTGGATCTGTGCCTCCGCCGGCCCCGCCGCCTACACTTCCGCCGTCTGCAAAGGTGTTGTTGTCGCAGCTTGTGTGTGCGCGCGGGGAGTTGTTGGCCGCTGGCAACAGCTGCGCCTGAGCTGCATGCGCCTGCGCCTGCGCTTGAGTCAGCACGTGAAGCGGCAGCCAGCTTCGTGAGTTGCTGCCCGTGAACGCGGCCCGCCGATTGCCCAGCAGCCAGTTCGGGTGGAGGGGCTCCCGATGCCCCATAATAACATGGCGCTTACTGTTAGATCGGGGAAGAGGGTTGGGAGGCGAGGCAGCGGCAATGGCAGAAGAATCCGCAGCCGCCGCGGCCGCCTCCGCCTCCTGCTTCCGCCGTCGCCGCCGCGCCGTAACTTCTTCAAGTGCCGCTACTGCCGGGCCGACGGGATGTGGATAATGCGGCGGCGGCGGCGGCGGCTGTTGCGACGCCGCAGTCTTTGACATCACCGCGACGGCGGCAGTAGCGCGAGGAAGGGGTACTATAGATGTGCCCTCAAGGCCGAGCTCGGACGCATCGTCGTCGTCATCGTCGCTACAGCCGCCGCCTCCCGCGTCCTCTGAGTCGCTACAGCCGCTGGGTGTACTGGTACGGCACGATGAACGTATCGTGGTTCGTACGGCTGCCGCCGGCGGGGTGGGGGAAATAGCACGGGCCTTCCGCCGCGGCAGCCTGTCACCGTCGGTTACCTCAAGTACGACACAACCGTCGCCATTGAGATCGCCGTTTGCAAGCCAGGCCTCCTGTACATGAGGTGAAGAAAATACGTGGTGATGGTGATGATGGTGATGATGGTGGTGGTGATGGTGGTGGTGATGGTGATATGGTCCTATGGGTTGGCAAGGTAGCCACGGGCGTACACACACAGGTAACACCAACAAGTGATCCCTCAAGGTTACCTGCATTCCGTTTACTTATAAAGCGGTACGGTTATGTCGTACTAACGTATAGCCGCCTGCCGTACCCATTCTTTAATGGGTAGATCCAACCAGGCGGACATTTGGGAGTCAAAAGCCAACTAGCCCATCTATGCCACTTATTCTTCACTCATCGTAACACACAAATGGTTGTCAATCTGACGTGGCACGACGTGGCGGTCCATCCACATACATACATACATACATCCAACACGACCCAAATCCAGTGCGGCAGTGCGGCAGAACGTCGGAGATGAGATGACAACCCCAGAGGTACTTTTGTTCCAATGTCTTCATTCAGGTATTTCTCCCCCCCCGTAAAAACGTCTAGTAATAATGGCAGCCGCTGACAGGCCAGGACGTCACCTTTGCCGATTCCCCTAGAAAGCTAAGACACCCTCCAGGGAAAGAAACGGACCTTTGTCAAGCATCCAGCATGGGGCTGACCATCGGTGGCTTGAGCTGAAGGCGCAAATGCGGCTGTGTATGGACCTGATAGGCCGAGTATTGCGCGTAGCCTCGCCGACTTGGTGTTGCCCCATGGCTGTATCTTGAGTAAAAGCGATAGGACACGCTTTGGCGTACATGGACTTGGAGATGCAATCAAAGCTGCCTGGACTGTGTCACAGGACGAAGGCGACCAAAATTGTAAAGCTGACATGCCTAGCTGAGGAACGTTGTCGCTCTATGAAAAGCTTCCAGGTAAGCTCCAGCAGTCCTTGGTGGCCCACTTGAAGAGTACAGTCCGCGATGTTAGCCCTGAACGGTTAATGCCATCCATAATGAGGGAAACTCCGAAACATACGCACGCCTGGCTGGGCGCTGGCGCAGGCGGCCCGTTAACTCATAGTGCGCAGGTAGGAAGGAAGCTTTGATGTGGGATTACCGTCCTACACCAAATAGTAACATTTTAGTCTCGTATGAGGTATGCTAGGAAACCTTCACAATGTCATTTCCTTGGTCGCAGCCTCGCCTATCCGCGCTCGTCGGGGAAACGAAGATTGTGGAAATTTTGGTTTGCGTATAATTACCGTGCGTGCTGACGAAATGCTCTTCAGCTGACCAACAGGTGTAGAACAGACTCGTGATGGACATGCTTTTCGGGGGCAAAGGCATTGAATCGTCGTCGTACATCCGCTAACAATTTGCTTCAGCGTCCGCGAAATCCCACAAAAATGCAAATATTGTTGTTCTTTGGACTATCTTATTAAATTCTGTTCCGTCCCATAGCATGGCCATGATTCGATGTCCCCTAACGGCCTGAGGCATGGCAATAAGAGGTTTCTTTGTTTTAAAAGACACGGCAAAGGCACGTTAGGGTTTCCAAAGCATGACGGAAGATGTGGAGGCTCTTTTCTCTGAGGCAAGCGAAACCGGGTTAGAGTGGCAAGCCGCGCCGCCAGGCCCTTCGTGCGAACCCCTCGGACGAGCTGCTCACAAAGAACCCTTCCGCCCAAATGACTGCCACTAGTTCCTTACTGCATGTTACACACGATATCATTCGCAACACAGGACGCAATCGCTCTCACGTACCGTAACCTGTTGCCACGCACACCCGGACGGAGTCCGCTTCAAAACCTTAACTGAGTGACACCCCGCATGAACTCGCACCATTCACCACAAACATCCCCCCAGTCAAATATCCCCTCTGTCTCTTCCACTCCTGTCATATACCCGCAGGCATCCGCCCTTCACAGCTCCGGAACCGACCTTCATCGAGCTGAAGCGCTGTACCGCCGGTTCCTGGCCGTACAGCCACGACACGCCCATGCACTTCACCAGCTAGGCGCGCTCCTAACACAGCTGTACGGCAAAGAAAAGGTACGATTGCATCATGTACGGTGTGTACGGCAGCACGTAGAGTAGCGGTTCTAGTACTGCAGAACTCCATCATTCGGGTTTGGGCCTGGTGCTCCGTCATCCCCTCTTCTGCCATAGCTCCGAAACCACCATTACTAATCGCAAATTCATTTTGTTCACGACTCACTCCCCAAGACCCAACCCGTAATGTGTTGAAATATATATGTTTCGATTTGGACATGCTTCAACATTTACATTTCAACGTAAGCCTTCCGAACTTTTCCGAACAAATGCCCCATCCCCTTCCCGCCTTCAACCTCAGGACGCCGAGGCGTTGCGTCTGGTTTCATCTGCCGTACAGCTACAACCCGCCAGCGCCAAATTTCGCAACAGCCTTGGGGTAGTGCATCGAACTGCTGGCCGGTGGCGGGAGGCTGCGGATGCGTTTGAAAGAGCGAATGAGAAGGATCCGCTCAATGTGGCGGTGAGCTACACGTACGAGCGTACGAGATTGTACGAGTGTACGAGATAGAGTTAGAGAGAGGGAGAGACTGAGAAGGTGGTCTACCCGGTATATATACACGTGCCCTCGGCACCTATACATACATACAGGTTAGGCACTACTGGTAAGGCACGGACCACTGCCCCCGGGAGATCCCGGGTTTGAGACCTGTCAGGGTCGGAAATCCTTCCGATGGTGGAAGGTATTGCGCCCCTAGTTGATGGACGGTGGTGACCTGGGATAAAATTAACCTGCGAGCCGACCAGGAATGGAGTTGGGCCGCCGTCGACCCGGCAGATTCCGTTGGATGCTGGTGGTGGGTGCGGAACCTAAGCGATCCACTGAGAAGATGACTAGGGTGACTGGATGAGCGACCCTCTGAAATACCCGCGGGGAAGACAGGGTTTCGCCGGGTAGCTGCCACGGGTGAAGATATGCCCCCCCCCTGTCCCACACACCATACAGGTCATGATGAACTTGGCGCGGGCTCTCCGGGAGGAGGGTCGGCAGCAGCGCGCGGCGGAGGTCTACGGCGCTGTTACCAAGTAAGTGGCGGACGGCAGTTGGCAGTTGGCGGTTGGCAGTTGCACCAGCTTAATTATTAATCCTTCGCCCTCAGCCGCCCAGAGCCGCCAGGCGCCGCCATCTCCCCCCAAACTCTCCCCGGCTGAGTTTTCGACACCCTCCACAGTTATTGACATGGGGCGGCATCCCCTCCTCCTCCTCCTCCTGTAACTCCTCCTGTAACTCCTCCTCCCTCTCCCCCCCTCCCTCTCCCCCCCTCCCTCTCCCCCCCTCCCTCTCCCCCCCTCCCTCTCCCCCCTCCCCTCTCCCCCCCCTCTTCCAACCCCCTCCGCACGCACACACACGCAACACAGGCTCCAGCCCGACCACCCCTCCGCCCACTACCGGCGGGGGGCCATACTCCGCAGCATTCGCCACAACGAGGCGGCGCTGGCGGCGTTCAGGCAGCACCTGCGGCTCCATCCCGAACACCAGGCCGCCAAGTTCTGGGTGGCCGCCATCACCGGGGACGTGGAGGCGATGGCGGCAGCGCCCGCGGACATGGTGTGGTGTAGTGAAGGGGGGAGTGAAGTGGGGAGTGAAGTGGGGAGTGAAGGGGGTTAAACGTTACTAAAGAAAGCTTTAAAACGTCTGTGATGGCAAAAGAAGAAAAATATTAGGATTTCAGCAGAATGTAAATGATTGTCATACGGCAAAGAGGGATGGACTATTATTCGGGTAGGTGAAAGCGGTTTTGTTTACAATAACATGCCAAGAACCCCCCGGGGGGGGTTATGCTGTCAATGCACATGGACAAGATATGGGGAATACGGTTACGTGATGGGCAAACCATAACCAAGGGCTATACCACGAATGCGCGTGAGGAAGGGGGGGTATATTTGGGGGGGGGAGAATGACCCGGCGGCACGGGTGGTATATGTATGTATGTATGTATGTATGTATGTATGTATGTATGTATGTATGTATGTATGTATGTGTGTATGTCGTTTACCTTGACACCCCCTTGCTGATACACTGACACTTACCATGATGACTTCACGTCGCATTACGGCCCGGTGGTGTTCGTTTCCTCTAACTGTATGTATGTATATGTATGTGTATTATGTATGTGTATACAGGTCGCTGGGCTTTTCGACCAGTACGCCGACCACTTCGATGACCACCTTGTGGGTGCCCGGGGCGGCTGGTTGGGCGGTTGGTTGGGCGGTTGGTTGGTTGGTTGGGGGGTTAGGACCATTTACGTGGGTGGGTGGGTGTACGTCTGCCGTCGTCTGCCACCCCAGCCCAGCCTGCCGAATCCCATCCGGGGCCCTCCCCCTTCGCCCTCTCTGCCCTCCTCGTGCACTGACAGGTAAATAAATTGCAATACCGAACCCCAGAGGCGCTCCGAGACCAACTCTTGGCGGTGTACAACAGTACGGCAGTCGAAGGCTCCACCGTGCCGCTCTGGAAGCGCTGCATCGACCTCGGATGTGGCACGGGCCTGATGGGGCCTCTGTTGCTGCCGTACTGTACGGCACTGGAGGGCGTTGATTTGTCCTCCGGAATGATTGACCAAGCTGCTAAGCGTGGCTGCTACAACCGCTTAGCTGTAGCAGAGCTCGTGGCCTTCCTCGACGCCGAGGCGGTATCGCTTTCCTCATCGACGACCATCGCTAATTCTGCCGTACCGTACGACTTGCTGGTCGCGGCGGACGTGTTCGTGTACATCGGCGACTTGGCGCCTGTGATGCGTGCCGCCGCCGCGGCGGCGGCGCCGGGTGCCGTACTGGCCTTCTCCACAGAAGCGCTCGAGCTGTCTCCGAAGGGAAAGGTGCACCGGGGCTTGGAGGCCGCCGCGGCCGCCGCCGCCGCCGCCGCCGCTGAAGCCCAGAACCCCGCCGCCGCCGCCTCCTCCCCTGCAGCCGGCGGCGGCGGTAGCTGTCCCGGTATGAAGTTGCAAGTGACGGGGCGTTACGCGCACAGTCGGGAGTACTTGGAACGTACGGGTGGCGGTTACGGTTGGGAGTTTGTCTCTGTGTCGCAGTCTGTTATTCGTTACAACGGTGGGGAACCCATCTGGGGCCATTTGTGTGTTATGAGGAAGCGGTCATGAGGAAGCCTTATTAAAGGTGGGAGAGGGCGGGTGGGAGGGCGGGTGGAAACCCGCATAACAGCAAACAAGGCGCAGTCTTGGCAGGAGGCATGAAATGCCCCCGATGCAGCTTACCTCGGCAGCATGGGGCCCAGAGCTGCCCGATCACCGTAACGTAACTCCTCTGGGAGAGCAGCACCCCTGTCAGCGTTGTTCGCGTGGTGCCAAAGCAAGTGGTGCCCGCCGTGTGGTGCTGCACATTCACCGCCGCCGCGGCGTCACGACGACGACGAAAGCGGACAACCTTCCAGGTGCTGCACCAAAGTTAGCCAGTACTGGACATTCCCCTGATGAGGAGGCGGACCGACGGAAACCACCTTACCTGATGCGGGTGGCATCAAACCCGCCTGCAGCAGTTTTCGACGTGTGCTGCCCGGGTCGTCTTCCGCGTGCGGCATGTGAGTGCAGATATATGGCAGTATATGGCGCTGCAATGCTGGCAGCCCGTATGGGAGGAGAAGTACCGCGTGTGTCTCCCGCCGGAGGGATCTGTCACTTCACTTCACTTCAACGTTACGCGGGCGGGTGCAGCTGGGCAGGGGTGCTACGGCTTATTTGACCGCCTCCAGCTGCCCATTGATGATTTCCCGGAGTCCCTACACGGCGGGGGCCGTCTGGGTCCTTATATGGAGTGCCCTGCAGTGGCGCTGGTCTGCCGCCGCCGCCAGCCCAGCGGGAACAGCAACCGCCGCCGCCGCCGCCGCCGCCGCCGGGGATGCACCCTAGCTCTGTGGAAATATGTTCATGAAGGAGACGTCCGGGGAGAAAAGTAAAGAAGATGCGCGGACGTCTTAGCGCCTCAGATCTAGCTGCCATGGCTGGGGCCCTGGCAGTGTACCAGATGGCATGGGCTGCATGGGGTGCAACACTCTGCACTTTTGGCACTGCGCTTGGGTACGTGCCAAAACACTGTGGCTTGCATCCTGGTTCTGTCTTGATGTCCGCTCTTCATGAAGGGCTTTCCATGGGGCGTATGAACAGTTGGGCCAAGGGGCCTAATAACCGCGGCAAGGAGAGGATGACTGCGTGGATGACTGCGTGTATGGTGCTGTAAGCGTCGGTTGCATCCAAATTCGTCTGCCCTTTACACACCAGCAACGCAATAGTACTTGATTTTCCTAGCCTGGCATGTCTTTTTCAAATGAATTGGAGGCAGGCTGAGACTAAATTAATGGTTGCTCGCGTGGGAGTACGTCTCCGTTTCGTCCTCCTGATCACGTCTTGAGCTTCTAGGAATATAAACAAATCATAACTCGAAGATCCCAGGGTTTAGTTACACAAGGTGCATGTTCAGAAGTATGTACCTGTGAAAATAGACACCAAAAACAAGTGCAGTTCGGGCAATCCATATCCCGCCAGAAGTGCATTTTACGAATAGGAAACCCATTTCACGGATAGGAAACCACATAATATGGATCCTGAATCATTTATGGACGATGGCCTTTCCCAGAGTGGCCCAGACGAGCCAAAAGGCTCATGAGCCGCCGAGCTGGAAACAATAACTGAAAAGGATAAAAAAAGGCAATAATTCATAACACTGTACTGTGATCCACATTAGTCGTCTATGTACTGCAACCTACGTCTCCCGGAGACGGTCTCCGTATGCAATCCAAGACGTGTGCCAACCCGCGTTGATTCTCGACACCCATCACCGCATTCATAACATCTCCTGGAGCAATGCCTAGGGTCCAGAGCTTAGCACGGATATCCGCATATTCCGGACACTCTAGTAGCACGTGCCGTTCGTCCTCCGCTGCCTGCCGATTATTGCAGACCCGACACCACCTTGCGGCCCGTTCCCTACCATGGGGTCGGTTGACAGCCAAAGGCCAAACACACATCCTGAAACGCATCAAACTGACGTGATGTTTCGGTAAGATGTAGCCTTCACAGTGCTTAGGTTGCCCCATCCACTGCAAATAACGACACATCTTCACCCCTGGATGCTTGTCGTCAGAGACAAACATATGTGGGTCAATCGCCAGCCTTTCACTACTCTAGTCGTCATCAAATCGATCTCGGAGTTCCTGCAACAGCTGGTCAATATCTAGGACATGTGACGCAGCAATATCTACCCTAGCCTCAATCCCTTCATCCGCACCACCCTCAAACCCCATGTCGTATCCTAAAATTTCTAGTATCCTGATGACCTTCGATCCCCAGCCATCGTGACATAAGGAAGAAGCAAAGGCCAAACGAAGCTTTTCCCGAAAACAATGATGATACACCGTGCCTTTAGCTTCTACCAGTCGGTTCCAAAAACGGAAAATTAGGTTCGCCCAGTGTACTTGTAACGGGTACTGCCCCAGTTCCTTGAACAGTAGCCGGTTGGGAGGCATCCCCGCCCCAGCCAACTGCTTCAGGAAGGATTTCTGCAGACCAACCATCTTATCCTCCAGCGCATAATCAAAATAACATGACCGGTGTTCTTGACCTCTAAGGAAGCCTCGTTCCAGGACCTGTCGGACCCTCATCGGGCCCCAGACCTGTATCCCGTAAGACAGGATGGATCGTACTTGTGCGTCGAAGGCTTTGACAGCAACAGCTGGCACAAACAGGCCCTGTCGCCTAAGCTTGGTGACCATACAAAATCGACACTGTCGGAGCTAGGAGTATAGATCGCCTAAGGGATCTGTCCACGACGATATCTGTCCCTCCTGGGTTATTAGGAGCGATGAACAGTCCCCGCTGTGCCTGTACGGCAGTTATAATGACCCAATTCACCCCCACTCGTAATATCGCCTCCAGCATCTCCTTGCCAAACGTTTTATGTCTCCTTGGCAAAACGAGACGATGTCGACGGCTCATCCAGCTCGTTGGTCGCACGGTATGATGCCTTGACATGTACATCAGCCAGCACGCCCCCAGGCACGCCGCATCGCAAGACGCATTTTTGCATCAGTCACCGCACGCCAATAAGACACAACATCCAGTCGCCAAGAGAAGATAAATGTTGTGAAATGAGAAGTCAAGGGAAGTATCAGTAGTCCACAAGCCGTTGCCCATACGCAAGACACCAACAGACTGAATCCTAGGACCTGCACACATCCCGTCCAGGTACGCCCCGATTGCGGTATCAGCAGCCATAAAACACACATATAAATGCTATCCGGAGCTGAATCTCTCGAGAATGGATCTTGAGCCTCAAAAGAAGCCTCAAAGTTCTCTACGGACAACCAAGCCGTGTAGACATGCCATCGAAGCCATGCCTTCGGATGGCTTCTATTTCACCAAGCAAACAGATCAGGTCTGTCACAAAATAAAAAACCACGCGGCAGAGAAGAATAAGCAAGAGACAGACATAGATAAATGTATAGATAGATAACGCAAGCCGAATTTCGGTTGCGGTACAAGACAAAACACTAGGAAACCATGCCACGTCATCAGAAGATGACGAGTCACGAGGATCGCGAAACCACCCCCAATAATGCCTTGGTTGTCACGGCAGGTGGAGAAATGAACTTTCCGGCTTGCAGGTTTCAAATTAACCAACGCAAAAACAGTCACACATCGGCATCACATTTTAAATCGTACCCTTCAATTAAGGGAAGAAACACATTCCGACTTGATCACGTTGCTGCCATGTGGGCGCCACTAGATTGGGAGTCACCACCACCCTGCCAGCACAAGGAACTTAGCCTTGCACAGACGCAAATCACTGACACTACTACTGCTACAAATTCCAAATCAAACATATTTGGTGCATATCCATGTCCACAACAAACAAAAGTTGCCGCAAATCCCCCCACCCACAAAAACGCAGCCAATGCAATAATATGCTGAGAACCTTAGCCATCCCACCGCATATACTCCACCGTCCGTACCAGCCCCCTTTCCACTTCACGCCACCACCTCGTATAGACACCTCAGCGAGCATCTCTCCAGGCCTACAGGACGATATCTGGTTCCTGAATCCTATTGGGCGCTCGACAATGAAGACGCAGCAACGGCATTGCCCCACGCGTCATCTGCATCGACAAACGCGTCCCAATTCGGCTCGGTTCCGTCCCACTCGTCCTCCTCCGGCGCCACCCAAACCTGTCCCTCCTCCGCATCGGCTCCGTCAGCATCACCGTACTCGCTGGCAGCCTCCTCCATCGGGTCCCCTTCCTGCTGCTCCTGGCCCTCCCCTTCCTGCTCCCCCTCGTGCTGCGGCTGTTGTTGCTGCTGTTGCTGCTGAGCAGCCGCGGCCTGCGCCTGCGCTTGTACTTGGGCCACCAGAAAACGAAGCAACGCCTGTGCCTGGACCTCTTGTTGTACTGCCATGTCATGTGCGTGAGCAAAGGCCGCATTTGCCAAGACAGCGGCCTCCGTGTACATCATAACCTCAGCAACGTGGTGTGGTAACGCGCCAGCCGCGGCATCAGGGCCTGCCACCTGGTGCGGCTGGTGCTCCTGCGCCGGTGGCGGCGGTGCAGGCGGACCGTTCTCCGCTAGCTGCGCGCCGAAGTCACCAAAGAGCTGCTGCGGTGCCGCAGCAAGAGCAGCCGCGTTCGCGGCCGCAAACCACGCCTCCGGATCCGCCACGGGGGCCGGCGGCGGTGTAGGGCCCAGGATTTTAGCCGCCAAAAGCGCCACGGGACCCTTGGCGGGTTGCACACCACGAGGCATCATCTCTATGTCCTCCTTTAGCAAGGGTTTAAAGCCGCGAAGCGGTGGCGCCATCTTCGCAATGATCTCGAGAATAATGTCGAAAGGTAGCTTCCCGAGCAGACCTTCCTCTGCTGGGTGATATTGTACGGCAGCCTCCGACGTCGTGATGATGCACGTGGAGCCGGCATTCGGGTTTGGGGAAGGATGTGTAGCCGGGACTGGCGCTGGTGCCTGGGGCGCGGAGCTAGTCGACCTCCGCGACGTAGCAACAGCAGCAGCAGCAGTGGTGGTAAGGGAGGGCGAGAGCACTGTTGGCGCCGCATGCAAGGCATTGCAGCCCTCAAGGCCTGTGGGGATGGCACGGTGGGAGAAGAAGGGGTACAGCACAAGCCACAAGACTCGCATGTAACGCAGCTGCTCTAGGAGAGAAGCACCACCACTCATGAGACATCAATTACCATGGAGGAGATGTATACAAAGAAAATGATTCTCCATCCATAAGCATCCTAACCGTGTGTGCAAAAACATTTACTTGTGCATCAAAAGGAGAACAAAAGGCGAGAGGGCTAAAGTATCTAAAAGTTGCACCGCACAACGATAACTGCAACGACGTGGCTCTGTTCAACTTCAACTACGTCTACGGACATTGTGGAATCAATTGGGGGAGGGAAATGCGGGAGAGGGCATCGGGGGAGACCTGCAATGCGACGCAAATGCGGAAGTACAGGCTACGTCCAAAGTGTGACGGATGCATGCATGGCTCGTCCCGCGACAAACTGGTAACTGGGAAGGCTTGGGAATCGGGATGTGTTCTAACGCACATACGCGGCATACAAACATGCAGGACAAGGCAGGGAAACTGCTGACTCTTGACACGTAAGAGCACAACGCGCGCCATCACCTTTCCAATGCCACAGCGGAACTCCACAGCAGGGCGCTTGAGCCTTGGCTGGGGACGCCGACGCCGCCATGTCAGGCGCACCGCCAGTGCTGCTGCTGCTGTTGCGGAGCTTTCTGGTGCCGCAACGGCAACTCGCCATGTCGCAGCTCCTCCTGCCGCTCGCTTTTCGCTGCACATGGTGAGCCAACAAGAGGTTCTTCACGTCACGCGCAAAGCCAGGATCAGCCGTCCGAAAAGACGAGGCATGCGTTGCGGTGTTCCACGGTAAGAAGGGTGCTTCAACGATGTCAGCGAAGGTCTGTGCCTGGTGGGGCCAAGCCACCTGCGAAAAGGACCACGGTCGAAACCAGGTGGAACCAGGGAGTCCAAACCATGCGGTCGAGGATTACAGCACGCACGGCACATACCGGTTTGCCGTGGACCACAAGCACCTCCTTGTTGTTCTCGTGGTTGCGGAATACCCATGGATGAGTCAAGTACGTGTACAGCCTTAAAGGGGTTCAAGGTTAAGAGGGCGCAAGGGCAGATGATGTTGATGAGTGGAACGCCATTACGAACAGCATATATACGTACAAAACGGGAAAACTGCGGCAGGCCGCTGCGACACTTACAAATGCGTTGCACCTGGCTTGATGAGGCCATAGGACACCTCCTCGCCGTTAAAATTTAGCCTGGGGCGACAAGTGTACACAGCATGTCGTGCTCAACCGCGAAAGTGAGAACCCTTTTGGATTTCGGTCACGATGCACACTAATGCGTCGATGGAGGACGATACTGCGAGGGCGACAAACGGGGCCGCAGGGCCAACTCACCAAAAAGCCTCCACCACGAAGCTGGTCCGGTTTGTAAAGCACATGTTTACCGCAAACCGGCTATTCAAAGATCCCACCAGTTCACCATCCTCAAATTTCCATGTTGTTGGGCTTTGTGGCTGCTCCGCTGTCACAGCCATGGCTGCCGAGTGGAGGTCAACAGATTGAGAAAGCCCCATACACAAACAGCTATGCCTTATGGCCTGCTAAACCAGCACGGTTCATAAGTTATGTAGGGCCACTAAACAGCCAAGCTAGAAGGCGCAACAAGCCGACCAAGCCTGTCCTCGAAGCCTGCGTCACCAATATTTACTCCCTGTTGTCGATAGTAATTAAATAGACGGGTAATGTGCCGCGAAGGTTTTACTTTCCCAGTTGCGAAAATGAATCCAATCGTACGGCTTGGATCCAGGTAGCCCTGCACATCCGCAACTTCTTTCCTATTAGCGAATGGTTACGTAAATGTCATAGGACAGTAACAAATTAACGGTGGCCTAGGCAATGATGGACTCCTAGACCCTTGGAGCCTTAACCTGGCTTTGGTGCGTGGAGTACGAGACAGCACAGGTGCTGGGCACATTGCAAGAGACCGCATGCCTGGCCATAAGCATTTTAACGATAGCCGCTCCCGGTTTACTTGGGATTTGCCTCGTAGCGCAAATGTACGAATTCTGTTGCCCAGGACTGAGCCCTGGGCTCCCTGCGAATGAAAGACCAAATGCAGAAAACAGGATCCGCATCTCTGCAACTACGGCGTCCGGCAAGCCATTCAAAATCATTCCTAAGTACTTCAGACATGCGATCTTGTTGCAATCACGAGCAGAGCAACGTTTCGCAATACCGGAATGGCTGAGCTACTACTGCTATTTGCTACTGCGTTCTCCTCGCAAAAGCAATTATGTTTCAACAACACTGACAAGGCGCCTAAGGACATGCATATCCCATGACAGAAAGGATGGCAAAACACTTTAGCATGCACCCTGCATGTACCTGCCCAGTAGTTCCGTCGAGGAGGAAACAAAATGAATCGCTCGAGCGTTAAACAACACTGCTGGTTAAAATTGCTGAGGGTGCAATGGAAAGGCGGTCTACATAAATTTACGGTTCGCGGCGCACACAATCGCCCCCGACGCTTCTTTCTTCCCTCCCCTCTTCGCATTCCTCCAACTTCACCAGCAAGCATGTTCTTCACACCATACATACACACAAACACACTCCGTCTGTCGCCATCTTCACTTCTTCGCCTACTTCTCCCGTTCTCGTTCGAAATCCACATGCACACGCACAGACGAAAGTGGGGCTCTACACTTCTCACAACGCGTGTCATGGATCTGAGAACAACATGGTACGAGAGTGGCCTCCGTGATGTCGTCCAAGGAGGTACGCGGCAGCCCGTTCTGCGGTGTCGCGCCGTGCGCTCGTAGGCCTCGTGTCTCATCCGTTGCAACAGTCGTCCCAGTCTCACGACACGCGACCCCCGTTGGGTCCTATTACTGTGTTCACCATCACTTGTGTCGCGTGTCGTAAGCTAACGACCAGGAAGATCATTTACCAGGTTAATAGCACAAAGTCGGTAGAAAGGCCTCTTTGAGGTCAGCCAGCTGCTGTACGCTGCCACCTGCTCAGCGCCCAGCCGTAGCGGGGCGCTTCCGGCCACCGCGCCCAGCTCCCCCGGAAGCTGCTGGAGGCTGTAGCTGCTGCTGCCGCTGCTGCGGCTGTTGCACTCGACCCGCCGCCGGCTGCTGTCCAGAGGCATCTTGCGGTTCCTGGGGTCCCGGCACATCCCCCATCTGCGTGTGATGGAGTGTGATAAAAGAGTGGGGGATCACGTGCGTGCGTGCGTTACGCACTGAGATACGAGAGGTTGGTGAGTAAATGACCAGCAGGCATCTGTCTGTAAGTCGGTTCGCGTGTTCTCTAATACACATCTCATCCACTTAGCGGCTCCACTGACACTAACCTATCATTAATTCAACTACTACAATGAAACCTTTCAAAAAAGCAATCATGCAAGCAGCGAAGGACCAAGCGGGGGACCCTCTTAACACCCTCGACAGGCATTCGGCCCCCCACCCATTGAAGCTACTATCGCCGCCACCGCCACAGCAACAGTAGCAGTAGCAGTAGAAGCACACCCCAGCCCTTCGCACCTCCACATCCTCCACCACTGCTCCTCCGGAAGCCGCCGTCTCCAACGCCGCCGCTGATGCTGTCGTCCTGAGCTTGACTCCCGACAGGCCCGTCTTGCCCGCCCGCCGGGCCTCCGCTCGAGCCAGGACCGCCCTAGGCGCCAAACTGACCGCTTCCTGCAACACGGCAGCACATACCACCACACCACACCACACCACACCACACCAGCACTTTTTTAGTTAGCACTTATTAGATGGGGACAGCCTTTGTGAGGACAACAACAACAACACAGTTCATACAGAAGATCGAATCCATTACTGTTACATCATCCATCCATCCAGCCATCCATCCATTCATCACGCACACACACGCACACAATCGCTTTGCGTCACTCAGTCAAGTAGTCAAGTAAGATTACAAATTACTGGATGGGCGGCTTCGCTCTCCTTCACAAACAGACCTTATCCCCGGCAGCAGCATCGCCAGGAGCATCCGGAGCAGCAGCAACGCTGCAACACACCGCACACGCGCACTCACCCATGTCCCACCTCCCCCTCTGCCACTGCCACCTCCACCATTTTCACTTTGTCCGTTTCAGGTCTTTGCTTCTCCCTTCGCTCCTCCACTGATGTGACGGCATCTCCAAACCCAGAGAGCCCACAGCCCACGGGGGGCAGCCCTATGGCTCCAGACGCCGCCTGGGACTATCCGCCCAGGGAGTTCCGCCCACCATGCCCCTTTCCCTCCCTCCAGCCTCCTCCGCCACTCCCTCACTCCCCCAGGCCCCTTAGCTCTCGTGTTGTGGACCGGCATGTAGCTCTCTTCACCCGCACCTGGGCCTGTTTGCTTGTGAGTCCGAAGAGAGTCGCCATGTGCACCAGCTCCAGGGGAGACCGCACCTCGAAGGCGGAGCGTGCTGAGCTGCTGAGCAGGATGTGCTGAGCAACAGCAGCAATAACAGCAACAACAGCAGACCGGGTGCGAACGGGCGCGGCGCAAGGCAGGCAGGCAGCCAGCAGCGGTCTCAGCAGGAGTAAGCGAGGAAGTGACGTGCGCGCGTGAAGTGCGGGAAGGAGCGCCAGAGTCGGCCACCGTCTTTGAACCCTGAGGGGGCTCAAAACCTGCTTATTACCAGAATCAGAGCCTATTTCACTTCACCCTACCACGACTCCGTCCACACGACGCCCTTTCACTCCACTTCACTTCCACACCCTCCCGCCGCTGGCCAGTAAATACTCCTGATGCAGCATTTGTCTCTTCTCCTGGAGGGCTATCCATCTATCCCTAGAGTATATCTGCTTCATTCGCCGGTGATTCGCCTCTGACCCCTCACCCCCTTCCCCCATCTCTCCCCCCTCTCTCTCCCAACCCACCTTGCCCCGTGTCACGCGCACCAAGGCCTGGGCGTTACAGAAGAGGTTGCGGCGCGCGGTGGGCTCTCGGAGGCCTGGAGCGTAGCATATCTGGATGGCGATGGTGTTTGAAATTGGACAAAGCTGGTCTGACTTAGGGTATCGATTTAGGCTGACAAGCTAAGATAGGAGGAAGCACTAACTAGTTCGTCTGGCCGGGGGCTCGGTACTATTTAGGAAAAAATCATTAGTACTTATAGAAACAAGTCTTTCATATTTAGGTTTAACTTAAAAAAAAATAGAAAAGATCAACAACATGGGGCCACACAAACACACACACACACACACATGCACATGCACACACACACGAGGACGTGCAAATACGCGGCAAACCACATCAATAAGCCCTGCCCTCACCTCGAAGTATATGCCCCTCCGCAAGGCCGCCTTGATGGCCGGGGCACGTAGCTTGATGGTCATCCGCTGCCAAAGCTCCAGACAGATGAGGTCCACTTCCAGGGAAGTGCATGCCTGGGGTTAGGGAGCCGATTTAGGGTTTTAGGGGGCCGTGTGACGGCATTGACGCCTCATTTCGCAGGTCGACGTGGTGGCGGTGGTGGTGGTGGGTCCCAGAGGGGTGCGCCCGGGGGCCCATGTCCCTCGGAAATGTCTGTACTCGTGTCCGGTTCGTGTTGTTGATGTTGTTACAGGGTGGTTAAGCTTCACCAGTGGCCTCCTTCCCGAGGCAGTTCCCTGCTCTCCCCTGCTAGAGGGGCACCCTAAGCCATTCACCCCATCCGACTTCAGAGTGTACTCTTTGAGTTTGGCAACTCACCACCAGCATCCAACCAAATCTAGCGGATCAACGGCGCGTCAACTTAGTTCCTGGTCAGCTCGCGAGTTGATTTTATCACGTCCTACACCGTCCACAAGATGGGGAGCCACCTCCCATTTCATCACCTCTCAAACACCCCGAGAGGTCGGCAGGCGGATTTGAACCCAGACGCGCCGGAACGCGTCGGGAGCAGAAGCCAGGCCTTAACCTCTGCCAGCCGCCTACCTGTTGTTGGCGTTGCATGACGTGGCGCAGGACGCCCCTCCTGGCCCCGGATCCCTCTGCGCCTGTCACCTCCCCCTCCTCCCACGCTTCGGTGTTTAAGTTAGTACCGTGAGGACATCGACTGCAGTTTCCCTGTCCTCCGCGCCCCTTGTCCTCCCCGCCCCTTGTCCTCCCCGCCCTTGTCCTCCCCGCCCTTGTCCTCCCCGCCCTTGTCCTCCCCGCCCCTTGTCCTCCCCGCCCCTTGTCCTCCCCGCCCTTGTCCTCCCCGCCCTTGTCCTCCCCGTCGAAGTTCCACCCGATCCCCTTGCCTGGTGCAACACGCGCTCTGTCTTGGGGGTTATAGACACCAGGTCGTACGACCGAACGACGTCCCCGGAGCTGCTCAGCTGCGAGGCCTGCACGGCGTCTGCTGCAACGAAGTGCAGCCGCCGAAGCTGTCGGAGGTGGCACGGCGGCAGCGGCGGCGTCACCGTCGTCGGCGTGGAGGACCCCCGGGTGGCTGCGGCGGACACGCCGCCCGGGGGCCCGGCGAGGGTGACGGCCACGGACCCGCTTCGGATGGCCAGAGCGCGCTTCGCATCCGCGTTGGCGGACGCTAGCGCGGCGTCGCTCAGCGTCGTGATGGCACACCTGCGTTTTTAGGTCTTTCTAACTGGAGAACTCTTGCCAAGATTTTGAGATGCGGTTGCGGTTGAGCCTCGGTGCTACCCCTAGCGGTTGTTGTCCTTTCCAGCGGCACCTTCGCCTCGCTTTGGTTCTTTGTGCGCTTTTGGCACTGCGTCTGTGGCTCTTTGGGGATTGGGCATTTTACATAGCCGCTGGTAAAGTGTCTCTAGGAGGGGAAGAGAGGTATGTAAGTGGCTGATGCGGGATGGGGTGAGCACCCGGTGATGTAGAAAGGTGAGCACCCGGTGATGGGGAAAGGAGGGTGAGCTTGGTCAAACCCTAGAAGCCAAACGAGTTGCTTACTTGTCGGTCTGGGTCAGCCGTCCGGTTGCAGTGTGTACGCTCGCAATTAAGTCGTAACCGCGTTGGAGCAGCGCCGCAACGCGCTCTCGGTGCTGCGGCGGCTCGACATCGTCGATGGAGAGGAAGAGGTCGGCAAGCATGATGGCCTGTTAGTACATCTTGAATAATTAAACGATTAATATCCAACAAAGGCAAAAGATACTTTAATCTTTCGTGCCAAACAGCGCAAAGCACCGTTGGTAAGACTCAGGGCTGGACGCAAAGCGAATGCGTATAAATATCTGCGAGGAGCGATGCTATCATCTGCAATGCACTTTACTAAATTTGTTTGGACATGTCTCTGGACATGTATTTCGCATTTTTACGACCCATGACCGTTTCCTACAACTGTCTTTGCTTGTCGTTCACTTATAGATGTCCTTTCTTTGACATTTTTTTATACCAGTCCCTTTTATGAACTATTAAAGAGGAGCCAGCATGGATAGCAATAGAGGGCTTCATGTATTACTGGTCAGGTGAGGAAATCAATTCTGGAATCGATCAACCGCTTTAATCGGTAGGTTTACGGACGCCGCCGCACCTCCCAAGGTGCAACCTGCGTGCGTATCCAGTTCCAACGCGGTCGCTGGCAAATTCATCCCCTGGCTGCCCCTGCACTACGGAGTTATGTTATTTTACTAGCTCGCGACAGCTCGTAGGGCCCAGACGAGCCAGGAGGCTCATGGATCGCGATTTTAAACGTAGTAGAAATTAATGGCCTACGGAGTGGCTTTGGAAAGATAGTACTGCATCGTGGTACAGGCATGTGATGCAACTGCTCATGCAACAACCACTGACTTTGTGTTCTCCATTTCAGGTTCATGACTTTCCTGGTTAAATCAGGGACTATTACGGCATCAGAGGCAGCGGTGTGTCCCAGTATAAAAGAAGTGGCATCTGCGGATCGGATACACTCGCTTGCTTCTCATGCCCCGTGGGTGCTGGGGTAAAGCAGGAAGCGTTGTTGCGCAATTTCGTGCAATTTGACACAGGGCACGATAAATCTTGCGAGCAGGAAATGTTTTAAAAGTACAGCAAATCGTACTTCTATGGACGAGCATTCACAGCTTTGCCTGCATCGGTGGGGCTGGTCAGCCATCTGCTTTTGGACCACCTTAGACATCGTTGCCCTTGGTTTCTCAGGTTCAGAGTTTTTCTTTCTTTTTGTTATATGTATTCTCATAGCCACTCTAAATTGCGCAAAGCGCTGCAGTCGACGGCGGGACACGTACAACTTTGCATTTCTTTCTCTTTGGCGCTTGAATATCCACGTTCTATAATGTAAGGACAGTCCGATTAATAAGCCTTTAGTGACAGCGCGACGCGTGAGTAGTTTTCACCCCTTGCAAAGTTGGGGCTCGAGACTAGCTGGGCATGGTCCGGTTCCAATGGCACGTCGAGGATGGACTTGGTGCCAGCGTTGGTCCTGGGCAGTTGGTGTACCTCAGGGACCACGGCGTGCTACAAGCTATGGTCGAAATCGAGGTGCGGACTTGGGTGATACCTCGCTGAGCACACTTTTATCAATTGCCTTGGTTTTTCATTTGACAAGGAAGAGGAATGTGGTGCCAGCCATTCCTCTCTTTGTCGCAAATGCCCAGGGTGCACTGCTGTGCAACCAGTCAGTCCTGGGCCCACGACCCCCACTGCCAAGCCAGCTTCACACCCCCACATCCATTTGCCATTTGCCCCGCCGCAGATGCCTGGCGGGAGTGGTCCTTTGGAGGCTTGTATGAACATTCCGCAGAACTACAACACAGACTCCGGAGTACGTAGCAAACCACTTAACCTTCCAAACATCTAGGTCTTTGCCTTGCGCTGTGCTGCACAGCGCCGCAGCGTGGTGGCGCGGTGGTGTGCTGCGCGTCCCCTTACCATCCCCCTCCTAAATCCCTATGCCGTCTCTTTTCTACGGCCTTTTGCGGACCTGAATTCGGGGGCCGTGCGGGCGCTGGGAGCCCTGCTGCCGTCCGAAATGAAGCGACCGCACGGCAGGCAGGGCAGGATAGCGCCGGTTGTGACTACTACTCCCTAGGGGACCCAGAAACTGAAAAGAAAGGAGACCCAGAAGCACCGGGCCGGGTCGGGTTGGTAACGAAACCGGTCCGATTCAAAATAAGACAAGAACCGCTTGTCTGTATTGCAAAGGCATGCACACGAATATGCGAGTCTGTCTGTCTGTCTGTCCAGCCCTTACCTATCCCTCCCGTTTTCCTCGACTTTTCTCCGCCCCTGCCTCCACTCCACTCCGCAACACACATACACACATATATACACACACCCGCGCTCCTCAAATCAACTTCGAAAGGTTAAGGAGCTGGGGATTGTGATCGCGCACGGCGCTGAAGCAAGCGACTGGAGGGGGAGGCTATTGGCGGAGCTGTCGGTCGGTCTGGCTCGATCAGGCGAGACTAGGGAGCTACATTGGGAGAGGGAGACGCTGCTGCCTGTGGGGGTGTATGAGTTTGGGGTTTGTTTCCTTGTTGCGTTTTATGGATATCGATGGTGGCGGGAGAGATTTGGCTGGGCAAGGTTTTTATGTATTGCAATTGCCGTTGGGGCGGACAGCTGCGTTCAGATTCGATGGGTGAGAGGGTCGGTGCGAGTGTAGAAAGGCGGGCGGCCAGGTAGGGGTGATAACGGAATAACGGTGTAGTGAGTGAGTCCTGAATGGATCTGAGGCCTGGCTCCGAGGGGAGAGGAGGGGAGGGTGTAAGCGGACGGATGGCGGCTTGTGTGTGGTGTGGATGTACTAAGTGCAGTGGTGGGCCTCCAGACTCACGAAGAGTAGAGCCAGCGGGCCAGCTGGCCGTGCATTACTGCACACTAAGTGTGACCACTGGGTGGTCGCTGGATGATCGATGTGCGGAAAAACATGAGGCAGGTGTGTTACGGGTGGGGACATGTTTCATGGCCTCTTTCCTTTTGAGCACCACCACATACGATTCGCATGCTCGTATGGCAAATTTTACCATCTTTTTCCTGCGCTTGAGGAGGAGGGAGGAGATGGCCCCGATGGCAAGTCATAAAACCCTCCTCCCCAACCCCAACCCCATTCCCATCCTCCCCACCATCCTCCTCACCTTCCCGGTACGGAAATCCACATGCGTTGTGATGCCGCCGCCGCCGCTGCCCTCCTCAGGGTTCCTCGTCATGCGGTACATCTGCCACCCTAGCGCAAGCGAGTCACGGCGGGTGGCGGTGTACGAGAAGGCTGCTGACGTGGCCGCTACCAGCCCGTACGCCCGTGGAGTTACACGCTGGGTGCTTGCGGGGCTGGGGGCGGGAGCGCGGGTGGCTGCGCTCGCGGGCAGCAGAGTACGGAGTACGGTGGCTGGGTACGTGCTTATGTCGTACCCCCTCAAGGTGGGTGGTTCAGGGAGTGTGGGGATGACAGTGGCTGTGGAATTTGCATCTCGGTAGTCAATGTGGTGCATTAGTGCCCTGTCTTTTTAATCCACTTCACTACCCTCCCTACCAGACTCTCTCCTCGGCATCGTTATAATTCCGCTGTGCTGTCCATGAGGCTGTCTTGACGCAGCCCTTGATTTCGCGCAGGTTTTATATATCTGCGCATCCTTTCTTCTTCGCGTTGTCGCATTCTTCCCACTATCTACATACTACTACTTGTCTTTGATGGATTTATAATCCCTCTGGCTACTTGTCACCACCTTTGGGAGTACCTGGCCCCCCATCGGAGCTAACAGCCTCCCGCGGGTGCTGCTACTGCTGCTGCTGCTGCTGCTGCTGCTGCATATCTCACTACTAGGGATGCAAGCTGGTGGCGTATGCACATGCTGCTGTTTGATTGTTCACTCTTGTTGCTGCTGCTGATGATAATGAACCGCTTCGTGGGGGGTTGTCCTTTCCTCTTTCCAGGAGGAAATGCCGGAGGATATGGAGGCGGCGGCAGCAGCAGCTGATACGGCCGCCTCTTCAGCCGCCGCCGTCGCGGCTGCAGCTGCAGCTGCGGACTCTTCGGGTCCGTTGTTAGGCCTAAAGGCTCCCGTACTGTTTGTGACGTCATCCGCCGACCCACTGGTCAATGAGGCGACGCTGTTGGAGCTGGGGCCCCGCATGATGACGTCGGATGTACGGTCAGTTGTACTGCAGGACGTGGATCCACACTTCCGCACACTGACAGGCAAGGGCCCCCACGCCGCCACACTGAGGGCGGTCAACGCCGCCTTCCATGAATTCCTCAACGCCGCCAGCGCGTATCGGATGGACTCCTGCAAGCTGCCGCGGATATGGCGCGGCGGCGCCGGCATCTTTTTGCCGACGGCTACTGGTGCTAGTGCTGCCGCAATGGCAGATAGCGCCGGCAACGGCGGCAAAGCCGTTCCCACTCCGGGATGTGCGGAGCGCCCGCAGCTGCAGCGACCCGCGTGTTTCAGGTGCGCATGAGTGCTCCCATCCATGTTTTTTTTCCGCCGTGTCGTCGTCTGAGGTTGCTCCTAGAATGAGAGATTGTCCCGGCGCCAAAATGACGAAAGTCCTTCATCCGACCCCATGCCCGCTTGCATGGAGGTCTTCTTTTGGTGTAGGCAAATAATCCTTCGTTTCCGTCATGCACCTACTTATCTCACCCATAGGCCTCTACCCTTGGGACCTCCTCCACAAGCCCAACAGCCTTCTGTGCAGCAGCAGCAACAGCCAGCTGGGGTCCAGGCAGCTCTGCCGTATGGCCTCAGCGCATCGGCGGCGCAAGCCCTGGCGGCACAGCTACAACAGCGACAGGCAGCCGGCGGCGGTGCAGCTGGCGGCGGCGGCGGCGGTGCCGGCAACACCGCACAGCTGCTTGCCCAACAGATGCTGTTGCAGCAAGCGGCCGCCGCTGCTGCCACGGCTGCGCAACGCCGTGGGTCAGACCAGGCCGAAGTTGGTCCTGCGTCGATGGCGGCAGCGGCCGCCGCGAAGCTTGCGGCCGCTGCCGCCGCCAGGGGCGGCGGGGGAGCCGGTGGCACTCCGAACCAGCTTGCAGGACAGCTGGCGCAGGCTTTGGCGGATCCCAACGCGGCGGCACAGATCGCTGCGATGCTGCTGCGCAACAGCGCCGCCAGCCAACACTCGCAACAGCAGCAGCAGATACTGCAGCTGCAATTGGGCTTACAGCAGGCGGGTGGTGGTGGGGCTGACGGCCCGGCAGCGGCGGGTAGAGGAGCGGCAGCGGGGGGCCTGATGGGTGGGTTAGCGGGAGGAGCTGGGGCTGCGGCCCAGGGCTTGACTGTAGAGGCCTTGACGTCTGCCCTAGTGCAGCGCCTAGCTCAGCATCAACAACAACAGCAGCATCAACAACAACAGCAACAACAACAACAACAACAAGGTGCACCATCCTTGATGACAATGCAGCAAGGGACAGCCACGCAGCTGCTGGCAGCTACACTGCTAAACCAACAGCAGCTCCAAATAGGCGCAGGGACGGTGCAGCAGCAGCAGCAGCTACAGCAGCTACTGCTCCAGCAGCAACAGCAAAGACAGCAGCAGCAGCAGCAGGGCGGATTGCAATCCGCGCTGCTACTGCAGGGTCATACGGGATCGATTCCAGCGTTGCAAGCGGCGCTGCGGCCGGCAGCAGCAGCAGCAGCTGGGCGGGGAAACCCCGGCGGTGTGCTGATGCTGCAGGGAATGGGGGCGGGGGGTTTGATGGGTGGCGGTTTGCCGCAGGTGGGTATGGGGACCCAGGACGTGGGAGACATTCACATGGCAGATGCTGGGCCGTCGTAGGACTCGTGCACTTCCATGGGCGTGGGCAACCGGCGGGCCGCTAAGTGAAAAGGTGGGGGTGTTTGTTGGGGTTGGGTCGTGGAGCTGTGTCGGCGAGTACGTTGACTTTTTTCTTTTTGGTGGGCGTTGGGGCGGAGAGCCCCGAGCGCACGTATGTACCTGCGTACCGCCACCTGCTGGTGGGTCTGAGGGGTGTTGCGTGGCAACAGCCTAAATAGGCACATCTTCAGGGACCCAAAGCCCCTGTCCGCCAACGTGAAAGAGTTAGTCTTCCGATGCCGGCGTCGTGTTTTACGTTTCGATTTTGTTTGGAGTTTGCTGGCGGCGTTACGGGCCGAACGAGGTGGCCGTCCAAATGCTTACAGCATAAAAGGTGTTAACACTTGTTACACTGGAAATGCTTCACCAACCAACTTAAATCGAATGCCACGATGGGAGCCCCCCGGCATCCAGGGTATTAACAGGCGTTACAGATATATCCACGTGCACCGCAAAGCCATAAAACAGCAGCAGTTTGGCCGTACTGGAGCCCGCGCATGCAGGCTCTATAGAAGTCACCACGGGCCGAATTGGACCTGTCGTCGTAGCAGTTAAAAAGTTTGATGCAGTGCGACAACAATCTGTAATTGCAGTGAACCTTGGTTGCCATCAATTGCATCGCCATTCTCCAGCTGGAGAATGCAGGACTTCCCACTATCCGTTGGAAAAGCCAAGGTGCTTCCCATGACTCATGTGCTCCTCACCGGCTTACCGAAGCGCAAGTGTAACGTGAAGCCCCAAGCAGGGCTCGCGATTGCGTATCTTTTCGCAAGACTTCGTAACAGTAAGGCAGGGAAAGTGCCAGTGGTGCCCGTTTGGTTTCAGAGGACTCAACCAGCTTCACTCCTAAGATAGCACGGACTTCGACTGAAATCGACATGGTGCTACCCTGGATGGGCAGCACTAGGAGCCCATGTAAGAAATGCGCGGTGCGCGGGTGAGCAGATGCAGCGCAGATATCGTGCGGCCGTTCAGATACGTGGATTGCGACAATCCCTAAGGAACCCCTGTAAGGCTTGAGGCCTAGTCGATGCAAAGGGTTCTCGGCATGGCACACAGTGACTTTGTTCGGTCCCGTCAACTGTTCTACGACACCCGGCTTGAACGCGTCATAATCAATCTTTCGGAATACGCGCATGATTACATCAGTTACCTCGTGTCAACATCCGAACCTGTAAGTCATTGAACCTTTAAACGTTCGCTGCTAAACAAACCGCCTGTGCCGGAAGGCAGGTAAATCGCCTTTGAAACGTTAATCTCCATCACAAGGCATCCTCTCAATCGCGCGAATCTTGTAAGCTTGATTTTGTTTCGTTGACCGGCAACACGGCCATGACGTTGCTGTTACATGAAAAGGAATTACTTCATTAGGTCATAGAACATTCTATGGTAGCAAACAGCGGCGTTCAGACAACATGGTTGTCTTGGTCCGTTCTGTATAGCTGTTCTTGTCCAGGACACCTCTTCATAACGGTGGAACCGTTAGTACTGCACGTCCCCCTTACAAAAGATACTCGCTCTCCCAAATACGCAACACATACTAGCCACAATGCCGCGTTGGAGCCTTCTTGCCCTTCTATTTGGGCTGCTCTTAGTGGCAGCCCCTTTTTCTAAGCACCAGCTCGCATGGGCATCAGACGAATATGACGAGGACGACGATGACGAAGCGCCTGCTGATGACGATAAGGATGTTGTGGTTGTGACCACCAAGAACTTTGATGATGTCGTCAAGAAGTCGAAATTCGCCCTTGTAGAGTAAGTGGGACGATCGCCACGCGTTTGCATTGCGATATCCTGGTGACGTTTTGTGGATCATTTTGCAGATTCTACGCGCCATGGTGCGGTCACTGCAAGGTGTGTTGCTTTTTGTTAACAGCAAGGCGGCTGGCGCTTGCGAAGCACTTGATCTGAGCGTTCCTTTGTTCCGTGCAGAGCTTGAAACCGCAATACGCTGCCGCTGCCACCACTCTCAAGAAGGTTGCTCCAGATGCAGTCCTTGCAAAGGTGGATAGACTGGGTTATGTGCGTTGTGTAACGTTCCTGTCATGTGCATTTCTGTGTCGTGCGCACTAAGCTCAGAGCCTGCCTGTATGTTACGGCTTGGCGCTTCCTTCCAGGTCGATGCCACCGTCGAGGAGTCATTGGCAGGCAAATTCGGCATTCAGGGGTACCCCACCCTGAAGTGGTTCGTCGACGGCGAGCTGGTGTCGGACTACAACGGCCCCCGTGACGCGTAAGATAGTCCACCGGGAACTTAGCGATGGCTAATATGATTGTATCATGGGGGGACCCCTTGTCCCTGTTGCCTTGCATGGTCTAACCTCGTACGTATCCCACCTAGAATGATCTCCTGGATATGTCCTATGATGCCATCCAATATACTTACTCGCGCATTTTCCCTCCTGTGTGTGCGTGTACAGTGAGGGTATTGTGAACTGGATTAAGAAGAAGACCGGCCCCTCCGCCGTGACCGTCGATGATGTGGACAAGCTGCAGGAGCTCGAGGCCGACAACGAGGTTCTCGCTGTTGGCTATTTCAGCGCCTTCGAGGTCAGTTGGCCTGGGCTCGGGTGGTGTGTTAATCCTTGCAGCTGTCTTTTAAGGGCTCGTGTCGGCCCGGACTGAGCAGCAGAGGCTGGACGAGTGTGTTATGATGATGGGTTTTCGTTTCCTGCCGACTGTCATGTTAGCCTTGTGGTTGGATGATAAGATATTTGTGCGGGGATGTGCCACGTTCAACGTCCAACTGAGACGTGAGAGCAAGTTCAAGGCCCAGTACAAGCAGCATGTGTATGATTTGTATGACATCGCCGGCATCGCCTTCGCGCCCTTGTATTTTTAAACCCATCTTTTTCAGTAAAGCTCATGAGGTCATGCACGTTAAGAGGTCATGGCTCATGCACGTTAGAATTGTGTTGCTGGCTATCAGGCTTGGAGGTGCGCAAGCCGTATTTTGTCACTGTCAGATAAAGTTATTCCGGCCCCGACGATGTCCTGACTTGCGACATGACCATTTGAAATGTGTAATGCTACTGAGTTGTGACATGCAGCATTTGTATTCGGACACAGGGTAGTACGGATATATCGCCCTCGCGCCATGATGCTGGTATCCTTGCCTTGGGCTGTGGTTGTAGGCAGCCAAACTTTTGAATGTGATCCGAGCGCGAACGTGCTTGGGGCCATGGCTTGGGGCACAGGGTTGCGGCATGATGGGGGCTCTGGCTCACTATGGATAGGTCATCTCTTTTCAGGTGCTGATGCAGCTGACATGCGTCAGGATCTAAATTTCTCTCCATGTGTCTTGACTGCAGGGAGAGGCTTTCGAGGCCTTCATCTCCTACGCCAAGAAGACGGAGTCGGTTTCGTTTGCGCAGACCACCTCGGCTGAGGTTGCCAAGGCTGCAGGTCTGGAGGCGCCTGGCACTCTGGCTGTTGTGAAGAACTTCAAGGGTACGTTGGCCCCCTTCGGGCCATTGGATTATGCCACACCTGTGTATGAAATGTGGGCTTCACCATGCAGGTTCAGTCCTTGTTTGTGAAGCATTTGCTTGTCCAGTTCACAATTCTGGAAATTTATGAGCGGATAGGCCTTCCAATCGCCAGAAGCACTAGCATGTGTAACGTGCAGCTCCGAGTAGGATTTTCATTTGTGTTCGTTTCTTTTATACGCACCCACAAACCTAACTGTGCTGGGTTTGGTCTGAGATGATGAACGTTTTGAATCGCAACACATGCATCTGTAACGACAACTGGTGGACACGGACAGGGTAACTGTGCTAGGTCTATGTTTTGATGTAGTGCGCCAAACGTGTATGGTATGTGTGGCCGGCATTGCTGTGGCGATTTGTTTCGGGCCAACATTTTTATTGAGCACGTCGGGCTTGTGTGCCTGCAGATGAGCCTCGGGCGACCGTCGTGCTGGCCGAACTTGACGAGGAGAAGATTGCAGATTTCGTCAAGAGTGAGAAGCTGCCGCTCACCATCGAGTTCAGCAAGGGCAACTCGGATAAGATTTTCAACAGCGGCATCCCCATGCAGCTTATCCTTTGGACGAGCGCCAAGGACCTGGAATCTGGCGCCGAGGTGCGTTCGTTTCATAGCGCAAGAAGAGCGCTCAGCAACAGGGTATGGATCATGTTCATGATAATGGTGGTTTTTAATGAAGGTTGGGGTGTTGCTTGGGTCGATCCTCGTGCTTGTTAGTACGTCAGTAAGTCCCTTTGAACTAGCTTATTTCCAGCCTGCCTGTCCTCCACACCGCAGGTGCGCACCATCTACAAGACGGTGGCATCCAAGTTTAAGGGCAAGCTGGTGTTTGTGACTGTGAACAATGAGGGCGAGGAAGCCGATCCCGTCACGAACTTCTTCGGCCTCAAGGGCGCCGCTTCGCCAGTGGTAAGTGCTTAACACCCTTGCTGAATTGTGTCCTTATGCCTCGGTTGCCTTCACATACCGGTCGTGTGGCAGAGTCGTACTCATCCGAACGCGAACAGCAATTGTGCAGCTGTGAGTCCTTGTCGTCCCGGCGCCTGTTGTGTATTTGATTTTTTTCTAACAACTGACACTCGATTTGCTTGGGATTATCTTCGCAGCTGCTGGGCTTCTACATGGAGAAGAACAAGAAGTACAAGCTGCAGGAGCCCTTCACCCTGGAGGCCGTGGAGAAGTTTGCTGAGTCCATTCTGGATGGCACCGCTCAGCCCGAGTACAAGAGCCAGCCTATTCCGGAGGATCCCTACGAGGATGGCGTCCACGTGGTGGTCGGCAAGTCCGTTGACAGCGTTGTCCTGGACCCCACGAAGGATGTGCTGCTTGAGGTGAGATTCCATGCACGGCTGGACGCCCGCGTATATGCCCCCATGATGATCAGCCTTAGTGGGGAGAGGGATGAGCTTGCTGATTGAGTCGATGATGGGCTCGCAGATTGTTATGGTTAGCTAGATGTCCAATTTCGTTGGTTGGAAGATCCGCAATTTCGCATTTTTATTCAACCCGTCGTATGTATAAATTTCATGGCTGTTCCGACCGTGCGTTACAGGTGTACGCGCCGTGGTGCGGCCACTGCAAGAAGCTTGACCCCATCTACAAGAAGCTGGCTAAGCGGTTCAAGAAGGTTAGCTCTGTCGTCATTGCTAAGATGGACGGCACTGAGAATGAGCATCCCCTAGTCGACGTCAAGGGCTTCCCAACCCTCATCTTCTTCCCCGCGGGCGAGGACGCCACCCCGATTCCTTTCGAGGGCGGTGATCGCACGCTGAAGAGCCTGACCAAGTTCATTAAGGTGAGCGCGCTTCGCACAAAACCATGCGAACTATGGGAAAAGGTTCTTGGGGCTGCGATTCAAATATGACTTTTTGGGAGTGCACGCGACTTCATGTTTTATGCGTTCCCATGTGCAGGCTAACGCCAAGGTTCCCTACGAGCTGCCCAAGAAGAGCAGCGCCGAGGAGAGCGCTGCCGATGATGCGCCTTCCGCGAAGGATGAGCTGTAAATGAGCAACGTTAGATGTGATGGAGTTTTGACGTGATGACCTCTTGATCGACGCCTGATCCTTCGTGCACTGTGTATGCGAGCTGCGGATGTGATGGCTTGGGTGTAGCGAAGTGACAAAATGACTTGACAGCTGGGTTACGAGCTTGCGGCTTAAATTGTCATTAAGTTCTGTTAGTCTGCAGTAGTGGAACGTTTGTGTTTCATGTTTTGGACCCTGGTGGTTGAGATGCTTACATGCGTGTTGGTCGGGTTTATGGGACTCATATTTGGTCCTGACTGATCAATGGAATGTTGCACAAAGCGCAGGGATTGTGTGTATCCACTAAGTGCATGCAATATGTAAATGGCAGCCTGCTGGAGCGGTTGTAGGGTTAAGCATCACTTCGAACAGTTGTTCTGTAACTGTCGGACACTGAATTGTCGCATCATACGACTGTAGCATCGAACAAAACACGTGCGTACGGCAGACTCGTACGTACATCGACAGATCCCGGACCATGAAGGACGCGGAAAAAATTATCCACAATCTCTAAGTATACGCCACGTAAAAACTTTGGCCCAATTAGACGGTATGTCCGCTAAGAGTAAGTACAAGTACGTATTTACAGCGTTATACTCAGCAAAGACCCTTAGCAAACACGATTAAACAAAAACGGAGCGAGCAAGGCATGACCCAATTATCCTTAGTAAATATACACCATCCACCTACACTTCCAAGCTCATGCGGGTCCACAAAACTTGCCGCTTATAATCTCAGCGAACTCCTGCAAACACACACTTGTGCAAACAGACACCTGCGATTCCTCACACGCAACAACCGTCTGCCGCCGCCGCCGCCGCCAACGCCGCTCCTACCGTAATCCCCACTCAACTCACAATCACAAACCCCTATCCGCAACGACACCAGCGAACATCACTTCCACTTCTAAGCCTCAATCCTTTCCAACTGCGCCCCCCGCGCCCCCGTAAGCACAGCCCTTTGCAGGTCCGCTAAAATACCCTCCACTTGTCGTACAAATATGCTCCGCGTGTAGTACGACACCGGCGGCGGCACAGGCACCGACGGAACCACCGAAAGTTGATGCTCCACTTCGCACCACTCCTGATCTCCCGCCGCTGCCTCCGACGCCGTCGCCGGGGGGTCCGCCGGCCGTACCGTCCACCGGCCCTCGAAATCGCGCATAAAGTTGGACTGCACGAGGCTGAAGAGCAACGTGCCGCTGTCCAGGTCTTCACTAACGCCCAGCTGCACCTTGAAGGTCCCCGAGAAGGCGAGGAACTTCCAGCGACAACTCTGAGGCCGTTGGGTTCCGTTAATTTAGGTTAGCTTAGTGGAGCAAGTAACCGGCAGCAGCTTACCCGGGGGGCCCCAGTTTAGGGTTTAGGGATTCCTGCCAGAGACGGATAGACAGACAGACAGGAGCAGACAAGTCGATTTGAGGCCAATAGGTAGATTGGCGGGCTAGGGGGCAGATCAATGGGGCCTTACTCACGCACCTCGGTTACACGGATCACACGAGCCCTAGCTAGCTAGGGGGGGTGAAGGATGGGCCAACCACCCAACCCACCAGCACCCTCCCCTCTCTCCTCCGACTTTCCAACCCTTTCCCCCTGCCCCCGCTGATGTCCTCCGCAGCAACATCACAATCGCGGCGCTCAGTTTTCCATTACTGCTCCGCCGTACAACGCACCTGTACGACTTGCAGTCCCACACTGCCCGCCGCGGGCCGCACCACCTGAGAAGATGCAATGTTTCTGAAGACCCGATGACAATTCTCGTAGTCCGTCAACATGCCGTACACTTGCGCGGCGGAAGCTGGCAGCAAGAGCGTTCCGCGAACCTGCGGTGTGGCGGTTGGTCAGTTAGTTGGTTCAGTTGGTACGTTCAATAGCGACCGAAACGGGTATACGGAATCATCGAGATCACCCAATGTGCCCCAAGCATGAAGGCAGATGATGGCGCAGGACACAACCAGTGATGCGTGGGGAATTTGGCTGTAGGAAGGAGGAGTTGCATGAGTAGGAGTAAGTGGTAAGTCGGCGTGTAGTCGCCGCTCCCGCTGATTTTTTGGTATTGGGTCTACTGGATCATTTTAGAGATACTTTAGGGTTTACACAGCCTAGAGCTCTAGACCCGTGTATTCAGCGGACCCTGACCTCCCTAAACATTGATAAATGTTGTGACTTGTAGGGTGACTAGGTTTCTTTCACAAGACTTATGTGTCGAATAGCGGGCATGCAGGTTGCAAGGAACATATTATAGGCTGGCGGCTGGCGGAGGTTGAGGCCTGACTTCTGCTCCCGGAGTGTCCGGGTTCAAATCCGCCTGCCGACTCCACGGGTGATTTGAGGAGTGTTGGAATGGGAGGTAGCCCCCCATCTTGTGGACGATGTAAGACGTGATAATATCAACTTGCGAGCTAACCAGGAACTAAGTTGATGCGCCGTTGATCCGCTAGATTTGGTTTGATGCTGGTGGTGAGTTGCTGAACCCAACGAATACATTCTGAAGTCGGATGGGGTGATTGGATTAGGGTACCCCTCCCGCAGGGGAGAGCAGGGAACTGCCTCGGGAAAGGGGGCCGCTGGTGAAGCTATACCAGTAACAACATACATATTCAAGGATTGGAAGCAGTCTGCTCTGCTGTAAGTAAGTGTTACATACCATCATATACCCAAAAGACCTATTGGGGTTAAGGTGGTGGAAATGGTAGCTGTGGGGCTCGCTGCGGCATTGCCGTACCGTGTACTTGCCGTCCACCAACGAAACGAAGGAGACGTCGGGCCCAGCACTGCCGCTGCTCTGCGGCCCCGGCCCGGCTTCCAGCTCATCAAGGTCTTCATCATCGGCGGCAGAGGCAGGTCGAGATGTTTCGGGTATTTCCACGAGCAGTTGTTGGACCGTTTCCGCACGCGAAGCACACAAGCGTGACACGGTCTGGCTCACATGTGGCACCGTGTGCTTATGAGTACATTGCAAGTTATCTCTACGCTGTCTCGGAAGATAGCCTGGGAGCCGTGCTTTTGGTGGACCTCGGTTGGCATGATTCGTTCCCGAGCGAATGGTAGAGTCGGTAGCGAGCATTATTCCCTGGCGCTGTCCAGGATCTAAGTAGTCACAACAACACTTTACAAAATAGAGCCTCAAAGTTTATTGCTATCGATCACTGACAGATTGTCGTGGCGTGTCTCGGCACCTGATGCGTGTACTTGGCGCAATTAACTTGTCGGTCGGCATAAAGGGACATCCGGTTGATCCACAAACGTTTTCCGTGTCCTTGTCTCGCATAGATGCCGAGCGGCCAATTTGCTTGATCTCACATCGTGTACGGGTCAAACTTTCTGACTCAACCGCCCTTTTTCGTACGCAATTCCTCTTATTTTGCTCTTCCTTTGCACAAGTAACGATGTTGAGTGTATTAAGTTATTGTGCCTTGTTACACATCTAAAGAGAATCCGCCTTTTATTGAGTGGCGTCTTTGCGACGTGTCCTTGGAAAGGCAAGGACTTTAGGACGTCCTGTGGACCTTAACGTAATATGTTATCTCTCCAGTGTACAATCGAAGTGGGCATCACTGTGGTTGTCCAGTGCTCGGTTGCCATCGGGTGCTCCGATGTTTGCGTATCACTCGTCAGCTATCCGTGGACATGCAAAGTGCCAGCAGGCGATGAGCATCTGTAGCGCGGGAAGGGGGAAATTTTTAGGAATACCTCCACAGCTGGCAAAAATGACCCGCTGACTTGCCCTTCCTACACCCCAACGAATGGTTGCCCATCCTGCTCCGATTACCCCGCGAGGTCTGTTTGGGAGTTCCATTATTCTTTGCATCTGCGAGTTTCATTATTTAGCATCCGGTACGTAAGATTCTTTTAACCCCATTTCAACGATGTTAAATCGTTCAATAACTGACATCATCTCGCTCATGGACCCACCAAAGACCTGCCCTGTGCCCTCAACTTGCTTCCTTGTGCGCGCGCGCGTTTTCCCAGAGCATGATGGGGACGTAGATGCATGTCCTCTCCAAAGACCTGCCCGCTCAGAATCCTACGAAGTCGTATGGCCCTGCCAGCGCTCTCAATCTGTGTGTGTGTGTGTGTGTGTGTGTGTGTGTGTGTGTTTTACATGGTTGGGGGTGCGTGACCCCATACCTGTAAAACTACCCATACGAGCCGAAGGCCCAAGGGCAATACCTAAACGCCTAAAAGCCACGATCTGCCTGAACGCGGAATCAGGCTTGAGCCCGCTGCCGACCACTCTACTGCTAACACCGCTGAGCAAGATAGTGCCCAAAGCAAGAATGGACCGTGTGCTGCTTTGTGACCACATCGCCACAGGAAAATTTGTTCCCGCCCTTGATTACCGTGCTGACAACACTGTGCTCACAAGTTGGGTAATCCGTTGCGTTGCGACGATGGGTTTCACCAAGCAGCAATAGTCGCCTCTTGGACTCAGCACGATAATGAGACAGATGACACAAGCGACATACATACACACACAGGGAAGTTTGGATTTGGAAGGTCCGCTGAAAATCCTTGGACTGGGGAAGCTGTACAGACTCAGAGGCGGCTTCTGAGATGAGACACAGAGGGGACAGACACATGACCCGCAGGACTGGCCCGCAGGCGCATGCGGGCGCGTGAGGGCCGAACTTTTCATTCAATCTTTTCATTCAATGTATATGTTGGATGGATAGTGATGAGAACACCGCGTCATGTTCCTCCTCCGAAACGCGTGTGCGGAGTCCATACGGCCCGTGGGGGCCCCTGCAGGCACTTTTCCTGTGTCACACAATAGATTCTTCTAGCTGACCACGCGTGAACACAGCGCGAGAGTTCGATTTCATTATTCCGGATATCAAAAGGTAGTTGCGAAGAGAACGGCCAACCCTGGGCTTATGATAAGTTGCAAACCCACGTGGACATACCGAGCCTTAGGTAACCTAGACGAGCCCAGCGCCCGGTCGTTTGTTTAGCACGTGACCGTTTCTCGCTTGCTGCGCAGATTGCTGGATTATCACAAGCACAAGCTTAAGCTTGCGCGCAGGAACTGTGGATAGGAGTGGTAGGGGAGGGCAGAAGGCACTATGCTACGCGACGGGCACATGGGACCGGCAGGGAATTGGTTCCAAGAATGCAAGCTGCATAAGACGCCACAAGTTGAATGTACAAATTAGCAATCATTTCGTGAGGCAGAGGCGACCGCACGGCTTTTGTGACCAGGGGTTGCGTCCTGGCATAACGGCGGGTAACGACCGAGAGACAAGGTGCGCTGTCTATGCTTGGGCCACAGCTTGTATGCTATGCCACAGCCAATGTACTAAACTACCAAATGATCTTCGTAACCTTAGTTCAACGCACTGGAAGCGCGAGGTTACAAACGACATGCACGGCTGACCGATAACCGGCGTGAAATGTTAGTTTTTTGATGGCTCTGCATTGTTTAGCCGAAAAACGTATGCTCTATAGCTAGATTTGTTATGATTCGATTTGCCGGGCAGTCCGGTAACACTGCGTCTGGTACGGCTCTTCTTACTGCTGTCCGTTGAAAATTTTCAGGTTATCATTTTGTAACTGATTCACTTGTCATGAACATGCCATTATTTCTTAGGTAGCTATGCTATATGATGCAGCACTCAAGTTGGGTATTTTAGTGTTTAGAAATTTTTGCGCCGCTCATTTGAGACCCTTATAGCCCCCCGGCACTGCAGCACACGGCAGGTGCTCGGGGGGTGGAGACTGGATATTGCAAGTAGCAGCCAAGGCGAGCGCAGACATAGAAACCTTTAGAGTGACGACACACGTTCGTAGTCCGTTTTCGAAGAGCTGATCATGGGCTGTGCTAATTCTAAAGACATCGGCCCTGGCCCTCCTTCTGGAAAGGAGTTCACTGACCTCAACAATGCTTACGATGCCGGCGTCCTGTCAGTTTACCTTACGGGCGGCCCTCTGACAGCAAAAGACTACAAGGAGCGCTTGGTATCCTCAGAGGGGACGCAGACAGTATTTATGCCGCAGTCAGGCTACACAATTCGTTACGCTTTCGTCAGCCAGCGTGGATACTACCCCGATGCCCCCAACAAGGCGAACCAAGACTCCTTTTGTGTACAAACATACTTTGGCGGAGATGCGGAGCAGTGTTTTTTTGGCGTCTTTGATGGGCATGGAGAATATGGGACACAGTGTTCGCAATTCGCAAAGGAAAAGGTATGAATTCGCATTTGTACTTGCAGCCTTTATATCATGATTTCTGTTGATGTGCGCACGACATGAGGCCTCCTTGCCAGCAATCACATACCTGGCAAGGGGCATTGCTGTCGTTGCATACATATCTAGCCTTTCCTTCACCCCGCCCGCGATCGCTATCATTCCAGCCTACTGTAAATCGCAGCCCCAGGCGGCCCCGCCCAGCTGGGCCCAACACCCCGCTCTCCCGTTTACATAGCCCCTCCTCCCCTCCTGTGGCAGCTCAGCTGACTCCTATGGAACTCTCAACCCCCCCCCCCTTTTTTAACACCTTCCTCTTTCTCAGTCGCCCCTCCCGGGGCCCAGTCCCCGCTTCCCCCCGCTTCCCCTCTCCTGCCTCTTCCCCCCCACCCCCGCAGTGCTTTGGCCTGCGGCTGTCTATTCGATCCCTCTTTCCCACGGTCTCGTATTACATTCCCCCACTGCCGGGTCCCCTA